GGGTGGTGGCCCCGGACCCGAGAGCAAAAATGGCTCGGGATACGGGGGCCGTCCCGACTCTTGCGCTAGCGGTTAATTACCAGGTGCCAGCGAGATTCAACACTCAAGTCTAAGCGCAAGCAGCCCAACTTGCCTCGCCGCTTCGGCCAACTTCGGCCTCGGAAGTGCAGTGCCACCACCAACCACAACAATCAGCGACTGACATCCCGCCTCGCTCTCCATGGTAGCCTCATTTGGAGGCTCGTAGCGCAGAGCCTCTCGCAAAGTAGAGACACAGCTGAACCGTGCTCGCAGCAACGATGGCAGAGGACCTGCACCAGCTGCAGCAAATAGAGCTGCAGATCTGCATCGCTGGCATTCTGCAGCCTCTGCCTCCAGCACAATGTGCATTACACTGTTCACAGTGCATCCAGACTCTGTCTACCATACGGTATCTTTTGGAGCAAAGCCCAAGGTCGTGCATTCCGTCGTTTCCCCTTGAATTTACACGCCTTGTTCACCTACCTTGCGTTAGCAGGATGGGGTTGTGGAGTTAGAAGTACAAAATGCATGAGATTGGCGTGCACACTCGGCATCTGGTTGGAGCTTTGTGCAAGTGTTGCAGCAGCTCTCACCACTCTCCTGTTGTCCAAGCGTGCGCGGAAATGATCATGGTAGAACCCCGGTTTTGCACTCGCCACAGTGTGCCGTTCCACGGTGAGAACTGTGCTCTTCCAGATTCACGTCGTTTGATACCTCGAACCGGTACCTGCATTCCCGGTGCCATGGCATGTCTGTAGCGGGGTCGCTTGCATTGGCGTTATAAGTCCCGTGAATCATTGAGTGCAGCAAGTTTTCTGGCTTTGTCGAATCCGCCGGATCCGGCGGTCCCACTTTGTGACCCAGCATTGATCCGTGCATGTGTTAACCGTCACGTAGCACATCCTGCAAAACGGATGGCTTCTGGTCTGGGGTTGCTTTTGGTTTTGGATTTTCTGTGGTGTTTCCAGGACCGAATAAGCACCCCAGCTCATGCTAGACGACAGCATCCGAGGACGTCACACAGCATGGTGCCGAACTTCTCGAAGTCCTTGAAAATCCTGACGAAAGTCGTCGCGCACAGACGCAACGAAATAAGATCCCTTGCAGTCGGCCAGAGTGGACGCGATCTCGCCTTGCTGAGGAGCTCCAGGGCATCGTCGATGTCGACTGGACTCCAATGTCCTCCACTCGCAAGGCCCAACGCCCGACTTCTTGCGAAAAGGACACGAGCCGCAATCTCAGGTCTAAGCCCAAGAGCTCGATGGCATGATTCCGCTCCTTGAAGCGACCCCAAATCCCACGGTATCACCCCAAAGAGGCACAGCCACAACCAGAGGTCTCTCCTCCACGTGCGACCAGTCCACTGCGTGGAGGAACTTGGTCAGGGAACCCGGCTGGTCCTGTGCACTCACGGCGTCAATGGTCTTCAAGTTCGAGGCATGGGTCGAAGATGCGGCCGGGGAGCTGTCAGGCTCCAGCGAAATCGGAACAGCAAATCCTTCTCCTCCGAACCTTGGCATAATAGCGCACAGTCCCTGGACCTGGACAGGAGCTATCAATTCTTTCGAGCAGTCCTGCATGTCGCCAGGAATGACATGGGAACCGCACTGAGCTGGCGCCGCGGGCGCCGCACCAACTCGGCCTTCATCATTACAGCCAAACTGCCCCACTCTAACGGTCCTCAACATGTCTGGACCTACGTTGCATCCTAAGATCACGTGAGCTTCCCACCAGGCGGCGGAGTTCATCGGCACTGGGTCTGGCATCCCGATCCTGCAGCGCACAGCCGAACTTTTCGCATCGCCACATCGGACAGGCAGGACCTTGAACATGGCCGCACGCGACGAGCGACCCAGTCGGAGGCTCTTTAAAAGCGCTGGATGTTCCAAGGCAGCTCCCTGAGCGAATCCAGGAAAGGGCTTCTGATGCTCACATCCGTCAACTACGAGCTTCGACGGCTAATTCAGGCACGTGCATGGTCCAGAAAGCTTTTGAAGCTCCGGCCTCAAGTCCAAGGTCCGGCCCGCAACAGCCCAACCGATCTTGCAGTGGCCCCTGAAAACCAAACGTGCCAATGCAAGTCGCAAATTGTGCCTTGTCCTGCGAGCCCAGCAGGCACCGAGCTCGTACTGAGAAGGCCGCATGAGGAATTCATCGGATTACACTGCGATGGCATTGAGACGATGAGGCCCCGGCGCCGCAGCTGCCGGCTCCGGTCGCATTGATCGGAGCCTCGTTTACTCCACGTGTTGACACTGAATCCGTGAGGGCAGCTCTGCTCCGGACAACCACTGTGCTCCCTTCAAGGCATCGAGGTCTTGCTGGTCGACATCCTGGACACGAAACATTTCAACATATTTTGACTCGTCCGTGGATGCGAACGCTGACATCAAGGTGTCCTTCGATCTGGATGTCGCGAGGACGCCAGAAGGGATCTCGATATCCTGTCCATATTGAGACCTGGGCAAGACATCCCACATTGACCGCTCATTGACTGCTCCAAAATGCCGTTCCTGACAAGCTTGGCACCCGCACTCTGCAAAAATGACAGGGTGCTGGAACTCGGGAAGCTGAACTGATAGCCTTGAGTCGCACATGTCGCACGCACGGTTCTTGCAGGCTTGGAACGAAGACTCACTTTCTCGTGGAGGTGCGGTGTGCGATATTGTGCGATGCTCCGTGAGCGTGAGCGTGCTTTCAGGCGCTTTCTGCGCAGCTGAGGCGCGCACCAGGCCATTCCTGAGGACTCCAGCGCCTCCTGCACTTCGCCTGAAGAGACTCCGTGGTCACTGTCTCACCACTGCCACAGCTTGGATGGCAACGTTGCCGG